GATGAGGGATCGGGAGCTTGGACTTCTTCTGATGGGAGCAGGCGTGCCATAACCCTTGTCTACTGGGCCTTATCTTAAAAAGGGAAAGAGGCTGGATCACATGGGTCTCCAGCATCCCTAGAAACTTTAGATTTAACCTTAAAGAATAGCTTCCGTTGAAAGAAAAGGGCCTTTGATTTTCTAATACTTTAATTTATGACTTATGGTCGGTGGTTTTGGTTGTCAAAAATTATTCACACCTATTTAACTTTACTCTGTTAAATACAAGAAGTGTGGCTTCAGAAATTTGTATTTAAAGCAACTTAAGGTATCCGGATGATTTTTTTTTTTTTTAAACTTCATTCCGGTCATTCTCCCTGTTCAGTAAAGTTGTATACCATTCATTCAGAGTCCATTTTAATTGTTCCATAGAAAGTAATTGATAGTAATTAAATTTTACTAGTAATTTTAATAGTAATAAATTTTTTCCAGACAGAGAGATGCGTGACTACTGAAGTGGTCATCTTTTTTTAACCCCCACGAAAGAGTTTTTATCCCCCCCCCCCAAATCTGTTTCCCTGAGACATCTGGAAAAATGAAGGAACTCAAGAGAACATAAAACGCATTTCAAGACATTCTCTTGAGGGTCTTATAAGCCTTAAAAAAACTGAAAAGGTAAATTTTCCTGTGTTGATTTCTCTGTTTGCATTTGTTCAGTTGTGAGCTGTGATCACCACGGAAGACTCTTAGGTCATGGCCTGCTGAATCTGGCCAAGCGGGACATCTTACTTCATTTTTTCTCCCCCAAAGCAAAATGCTCTGTGTTTAATAAACAAAGTCCCTATACATGAATTGAAGGGCCCTCTTCTGAGTGAACAAACTTGAATGGAGGCCATATTCTTTCTTTATTCGATGTAGTACTTTAGATATTTCCACTTACATGGATTTTTATCATTTTAATTACTAAAGTCAGTAATCGAGACTCCCAGGCTGGCCTTAGACTGATTCGGTATGTAGTAGAGGACGACCTACAACTGCTGATCCTTTTGCCTCCACTTCCCAAATGCTGAGAGACAAGCTTATACCACCTCTGGGGACTTTGTGCACGCACTAGGCAGCACTCCAGGACCTGAGCTACATCTCCAGCCTCCCTTAGAGGCTCCCTTAAATAGTGGGCAAAATAGATTTAATATGTATTTTGGCTTTAACTTTCTAGATAATCTAATTTCATATTGGTAGGTGTATATGAATGAAATAATTACAATGACATGTGAATATGTATTTTGTGAGGATAGCATATGATCAAGTCTGACTTTTTAGAGTATAAAAAAAGTAAAAATCAATCCCTCCTCTGCATGCAAATACATGCCACCAACAGACTGTTTCTAAACTAACTTACCACTTAGCATTTTAAACTTAATTACAATGGAAGAAGGAGGTCATTTCTTATTTTATAAAAGAAAATGCTTAGAAAACCCACTGAAGTTTTAAACTTATGAAAATTTCAGGAAATGAAAAGCATGTGTTTCTGTGCCATTTAAAATTAAACTTTCGGGGCTGGAGAGATGGCTCAGTGGTTAAGAGCATTTACTGCTCTTGATGCTTGCTCCAGGGGATCTGAAGGCCTCCTCTGTCTTCCTTGGACATTTCACGACACTCATGCACTTACATTCAGGCAATACACGCATACACATAAAATAAAAATAGTAAATAAAATATTTTTTAAAAATTAAACTTTTAATTTTACTTAAAAATAACAATTGAATTACCTAATTGTGTCCTCTCATAGAAGAGAACTTCTGCCACCACTACCCCAATAAGAAGTGATTATTACTTATTATTTTAAATTCGCTTAAAGCTTTCAGTGAAATGATTATTTTTAGGGTCATTGAATTATAATAGCAATATTTCATTTCAAGTGATCTCCTAAGGAAGCTTAATTCACTAACTAATACACTTGGTTTTAATATTCTAATATGAAAAGTCTGTTTAAAAATTGCTTCAACCCAGAGTCTCTTGGTTAAATAAAATGCTTAAGAACTGATTTTCTTAGAAATTTCTATCAGGGAAATCTTTATTAAATAGCTGGTTTTCATTTTAGTTATTTAATTGTTGCTTTTAAATTTTTGCTTTATTGGATAGTTTATTAGGTGCAAGATGGTTAAAAAAAGAGAGAGAGAAGGCCTGTTTATTCGAAGAAAACACTAAGAGAAAAGCTCTTACTCAGGTAACTTGGTCCAAGTGACTGACAATATGTGTCAGGGAATCTTTGCCTCCTTATTCATTTCTGGAAGTGTAGACCATGCTGGCCTATAGTAAAGGTAGATACATTTAAATCATAGTTCATATTTTAAGTAAATTAATGGAAATTAATTCAATACCAATTAATATCCTGCCAACTTCTCAACTTCTTTGGCACTAAGTTGTTAAATATATCCATTGATTATTTTGTATATATTTAATCGTATTTTTCTGTTTTGAAGAAAATATATCTTCAAGACATATGTGGATATGTGTATATATGTATCTTAAGGATAAATGAAAATGAATAGTTACAGTTAGGATTAACCTATTTGAAAGTGCATGTAGGAAAGAAAAAAATGCAAAATTATGTTGATTTTTAAATGTTCAGGATGAGGCCAAATGTAGCCCATTTGAAACTTTCGGGAGTGAGTTAAAAGACCAAAAAATGACCAACATAACAACTACCCAATTTGTATAAGCATCCTTCCAGGTAGACACAGCATCTCGATACCAATCTGTGGGACAATATGTCCATCATTGAGTGACACTCAGGATCAGGATCTTCTGGTTTTGTCAAAGTGTATCAGCTCTCTGAGAACTTCTCCAAGCCTGAGAGTTTCATAAAGTAGCCTGAAGCTCATCATTAACAGGATTAAGATGTGGCATGCCCAAATATCCATCTCCTGTCTTGAACTGCTAACCTGATTCAGAACTAGCAATTTTATAGCTAACAGTGGAATTGATGGAGTTCCTGGAGTCATTGTCATACAAGAGAAGCTTTTCCCTTTCAGTACTCATATTTTGAAATATGTTTTACTTTGGTTTTTGTTGAAAATAGACAAGTGTACCCCCCACTGAATTTCTGATTTGAAGACCCTCTTAGGGAATTAAAAAAAAAAAATCTTCAGGGGCCGGAGAGATGGCTCAGCAGTTAAGAACATTAACTGTTCTTGCAGAAGACCTGGGTTTGAATCCCAGCACCCACATGGTGCTAACAGCTGTCTCCAGTTCCAGGGGATCTGACACTTTCTTCTGTCCTCTGTGGGCACTGCACAACAAGGGTGCATTTACATGCATTTAGGCATAACACTCATAGACATAAAATAAAAATAAATAAAAATTTCCGAAAAATCTTGTGCTGGATGGATATGCCTGTAATCCCAGCACCCAGGAAGCTGAGAGAGAAGGATCCCAGCCCTCCAGAGGCTAAGGATCTCAAGTTCAAGTCCAGTCTTGTCTACATAGTGAGATTCTGTCACCCACCTCTACCCCAATAATCTTGCCATATTGCTTCTTACACAGTATAGACTAAACAGATTTTCTTCTTTGAAATAGCAGAAATATGTCATCTTTTTAAAAATGCATAAGTATGTATCTTTTTCCTTTGTGCAAGTATTATGGCCTATTTTAAAAATATTCAGTTTTCTCTCTCTGACTTATTTACTGATTTATGACTACTTTTATAGTACATAACCCGAACAAAACCTACCCATGCATCAATCTGTATCTCTCTGTGTTTCTGCATAAGGGGAGTGTTTTCAGTTCTTCATACAAGTACTTTTACTTGAAATATCAAAGTAATTTAAGCTTGCCTTAGAAATTTCAGGTTATGTTTTTGGAACAAAAGCCATCATTTTGAAAGTTCAAAATCCCTATTAGCCTGTGTAGAAACTTAAGCCTGAGGGTGAAAGCTCATGATAGCCCACTTTTTCAGCCGCTGTGTTTTAAGATAGATTAAAACAGTTTGTTGTAAGTTCAAATGCATTTGGCTTCAATCATCATCTAGAAATTCTCACAAACAACAGCAATTCAGGTTAGTGGATTCAGCAAGACAGTCTTTTTTCAAAGCAAGATGCAGTTAATTTACAGCCTGGCTCTCAAAAGGTTAAAAACTATGATTCTCTGGTGTGTGCCCCCCCACCCCCACCCCAAAAGCCAGATAAGTTTACTTTCTTAAGCATAAAAATAAGCAATATATCTTTTCAATAAATCTGCTAGCACGTAGGGCAGCTGTTAAGCAAACAGAGCTGGATAAGGTTACGAGAAGGAGCTCTGAAGAGCAGAGCTGATGATGCAGAAGCCTGGGAAGAATCTGTCTCAGCCTGTGTTCGTTTGGTGCATTCCACACTTTCTTCAAATGTAGTGAAGCATTTAAAATGCCATTACTCTGAATTTCACATAAAAGTAAAACTCATTCTCAACTCTTTCTAAACATTGCCACATTAAGTAAAATGCAGATAACAAACATGTAAAACCTTGAAGCTTCTCTACCTGTGTGAGGGTGAATGTCTGTAGGATGGGGCCGTTCTCCTCCAAACTGCATGTCTTCCTGTTTTGCAAGCTGCATGCTTTAAAGTTACTGATTATTTTACATAGTACAGATAATTTGGTATGTTGCATAGAAGAAAACCTCATTTTTATTTTCTTTCTAAAATATATCTCTCTATTGAACATTATTAACATTTTCTTTTATTTCAGCTCAGTTTATGCTCTAATAATGGCTAATTGTTATGTTCTAAGCACTTGTTTCTCTGAATGCTCTAATTAATAGAGAAGCATATTTCAATCGCTCTTTTTTCTAAGAAAAAGTCGAGGAATTTTGCTTTATAAAGTAAGATTTTTTTTTTTAAGATTTTTGTTTGTTTGTTTTCTTTAAGTTGCCTCTTGGGAACGTAAGGTTAATACCATGTACAGTACTAGTTTGCATGTATACATTTAAATACTAAAAACTGTAGTACTGCTCGATCCATATCTGACTGCTAGGTTTCAATTGACAGCTGAGGATTTGTGACTGGACCATGAATCAAAACGGCAGGCATTTATACCCCAGTACCAGTGAGGATACATTGGGAATTACTTGGCAAAGGTAACATTTTAATTATTTCCAACCCTACACTTACACCTAAAAATTACATGACCTATAGTGTTTGTTTTTAATTAGTTAAAAGTTCAGTTGTTTTGGCTATACCATCCCTTTTCCCTACCCTTTCCTTTATTTCTCATTTAAATGCAGCATCAAACTAATTTGGGATTATGGCATATGCTAACTGATCATTAGAATTTCTCAATACTGTCAAATGTTTGGTACAATTTATAACATTTTTGGTGAGAGTGGGAGGGGTGTGATTTGACATTTAGATTTAAGGGCCTGAAGATGAAATCATCGCTTTAGGCAAGATTTTTCAGCTATGTGAGGCTAAAACACTGTTTTTCCACATTATATACATTTCCTAACCTCAACTCTTCTCTCTGCTCCTAACGCTAAGCCTTTTTACTTAGTATCATTTATTTTTCTTCCAGAGGGGGAAAACTAGAAGGGAAATTTCAGGTCAATCAATTTACCTGTTGTCAACAGCACCCATACATTTTGGAGTAAGAAGATTATTAGAATCTGTAGCTAAAGATGAAATTTTAATTAATTTTAATTTCTATTTGTATACTGATATGATTTATTTTATTTGGTTGGCTATGAAAATTATTTGAAAATAGTTTTGTCTCATGTATTGATTTTAAAAAGTAATTGTCAGGTAGCTTATGTATTTAAAGCAGTTTGTGTGAATTAATTTCTGGTATAATTTTATATATTGAGATTTAAGAATGTACAAAAGAGAGTGAGATAATCCCTTGAGTTTACTGAATGGAGCCAACATAATTTTTTAGCATTGCTCTGACTGCAGTCTTCTTCCCAGAATGCCTCAGTGGGGCACCTTCTATGCACTGAGTACTAGTTATAAAAAGCTTGCCTCCTTGCCTCCAGCCATACTGCTTGATGATAAGAGTTTGCTGAAGAGTAAGGTTGGAAGGGACAAAAGTCTGTGATTACTCAGATGAAAACTATGAGCTCCCTGGATTCTGTTTTCAAAAGTTCATGGCATTTTACTACTTTAATACCAAAATCATGATAATACAACTTTTCTTCTTTCTAAAGATTGGTAGTAATAATCAGCTTTTAAAATGGATGCATTTTTATGTATTGTGATTTTTTTTTCACCAAGAAGGTTGTATTATACTTCCTAACGGCGGGGGGGGGGATATTAAGGTAATATGTACTTACAAAAGGAAGAAATACTGGGTGAAAATATCATAAATAGTCTTAATGATCAATGGTGCTCAGTTCAACTGAAGGAAAATATCTTAAGAGTCTGAATTAATAAGCCAAAGTTAATATAGTTGGATTTAAGAACACAATGTTTGCATTTTAGTTTATTAAGACCCCCTATACTCCATGCTTTACCTGTCAGTGGTCCATGTCTACACACAAGATTGACATATTTATGACAATTTAAAATTAAATGGAAGGTACACATGTGTATGAATGTCAGAACTTCCTGATCTGTGGATTACTGGTTGCATTTACTTAATCTGGAAGAGCAGAGTACCTCTGAAGTGCAGATTGATGATTTATGATATAACTTCAACTAGTTTCTAGTAGTTTGGGAATTAAAACTTGGTATCCCCCCCCCCAAAAGAAAAGGTGAGTGATGATGGAATCAGAACACAAGTACAGAATGAATGCATGAATGAATGGATGTGATGATTAGCTGCAGTCCTTAGGGAAACATTGTACATGATGAAAACCCCCTTCTTGGCAAGAAAATTGATGTGGCATCTAGTTTGGGCTCATTAGAAATCAGAAAACAAAAATCTGAATTCATGGATTTCCCCCTTCCTCTTAAAATACTATTTTTCTTTGGATTAATAGATAACATCATTTGAAATGTCCTTATTGACTCATAAAGCTCTTAAATTCGTTTGGTTGCATCTGCTCTTTTTATCATGATTCAAGAAGGCACGTAATTAGTAATGCAGGCATCTCTACATATCCCAAGTCTGTGGAGGGGACCACCCTACACACCAGGACAGTCATAGACACGGTTCTTTCAGTCTGTGTATCACACAGTTCAGAATAAATCCACAACAGCAATTTGCTTTGCTTTGTTACTGTTTTCAAAAATGGGCACAATCAGTTCATAACTTTATAATACAAACAGGCCATGTCCATAGCACAGTTTCCCATACATAATTTATAATTTGTACTCTGAAATTGCTTTTAAAACTACATAGTTTTTTCTGCATACAGTATTGTAAAAGGAAATGACAACTGCTGTAACATTGCCACTTTCGGAGCAGATGGTAGACATAGAAGTCTTCAGCACACAACTGAAGCTGTAGCGTAGAAACTATCTGAGAAAGGTAGATTTGTCTGACCAGAGAACTGAATGATTTACCTTTGATGTGGTAGAAAGAGTACAGCACAGGTAGCTTTTGTTGTGGTTGTTGCTTTTGTTTCTAAGAAAAGACAGTCCATGGAGACGGTGTAGGCCAAAGGACCCAGCAGAGCAGGTGTTCAGTTGGCTTTATTTCGTTTGGGTTGTGTCTCCTTTCTTCCTTTCCTGAGAATATAGCCCTTGTCTTGCTTTCTTTTCTGTTGTGCCAGTTGCCTTCCTGAGGTGCTTCCATGTCAAATGCAGTTCACCTGGGGGACTGAAGATGACAGGGAGCTGTGCATGGACTGAGGAAAGCTGGGAGACTTCCTCCTCACTCCAACCCCAACTCAGAAACTTTACCCTCGGCAGCCAAAGCCGACTGTCAGGGTTTTCATAGACCAGATATCTAGGGAGATGTCTTGTTGCTTTGACTCTCTCTCTCTCTCCTCTCTCTCTCTCTCTCTCTCTCTCTCTCTCTCTCTCTCTCTCTTTCTCTCTGTGTGTGTGTGTGTGTGTGCACGCGCACGCGTGCGTGCATGCACTCATAAGTTAAGGGCTTATTAGCATCTTGAGAAAATGAACTTTTCTGCCTAAGCAAGAGGTCACTTACTAGAGTTAACAGACTCAAATGTTGAAGGTCTTACGCCCACTTCACCCCCTAGGAGGGTGATAGGTGATGGATTGCTGTAACTATGTACTGTTGTGTTTGTGTTTTGTCTTCCTCTATGCACAAATTATATTGTTTTTGCACAAGTGAGCTATATGTGGATAAACACATGCAGCAGTTACTGGCCAAGTGGCTTTCTTTCTTGAGAATATAGCCAGACTCTTGCTTGCACTATCAAATGCAAAGGAGCAATATAATCAAATGAAAAGAAAGCTAAAGGACAATCTAAGAATAATATAAACATGTGTTATTTTAAGACATTGGAGGGAGTGCTTTATGCAAAAGAGAAACTGGATTTATTGTTTCGTTCTCCTTTCTCCCCCTTCACCCCTCACGGGAAAATGCAAAGCCACAACTGAGTGGTTGTACGTGTCTGATGGCTTATATAAACATAGAAGGAGCCTTCAGATGGTTAAAATAAACATGTGCGTGTTACTGAAGGATATGTTTACACAAACCATTTGCTCAGCCTCTGAAATAATGAATAAATGAAGATTTCACTGAAATAATTGGAAGATTTTTTTGTTGTTTCTGCTTATGCCATAATTGAATGGCACCAAAGAGACTTTTATCAGCAACTTTCCATGTTACATGTTCCCCGTTCCTTTCTGTTAGTTGAATACTTCATCCTGCCATTACTTTAAACATGTTTTTGTAAGAAATTGTCGTTTATTACTTCAATTCTAGAGAGTTGCTTGATTTCCCAAGAGAGGTTTAGCAGCCAGTAAAGGTTATTTGGATCTGGCTGGTTGGGAGAAGGCGGGCGAAAAGGAAGGGCCAGTAACACGCACTGCACGCCTGTAATTATTGTGGAACGCCGCTGTCCTCAGCCATTTGTCATTTCCCTGCCGTGTCTTTATAAAATGTGTTCTCTCAAAAGCTTAAGAGTAAAAACTTAAACATAATTTCCAATATTAGTTTGCAAATCATATGTGCTTACACACGTGCGAGTGTACCTCTGTGTTTATATGGCCGTAGATATGTGTCATGTGTGTGGTAAGTGCAGGCCTGTCCTTAGGTAGAACAAAGAGTTAACTTTTACTTCAGCATTACACCGAGGTTAGCACTTCCTGCTCTGGGTTTGTTATCTGGACACATAACTGCAGCACAGCAGCTGGGTTGTTCTGAGGTTCCTGGAGGGAGCTGGATTCTCAGAGTGCTGAATCTCCTTTTCAGCTGTTAGCTCTAAAGTGTATTCAGAATGTGCAGATTTTTATACACCATTCCAGGCCCCTAGCAGCACTCTGAGACGCTGATAGAAATGCTGATAGGACAGATGCATAGAAGAATCTTTGGTTCAAGGCAGAGAATTACAAAAGCCAAAGTTGCATGTGATCGGTGTTTGGTAACAGGACTGCTAACTGGTGTTCTTCTTTGCATTTAGACATTCTCTTGAAAGCAGTTACCTTCCATTCTCATCAATATCATTTGCACCTGTTATGAAATCAAAACTAAAGACATTAACATTGTTTAAAATGATCTGAAATGGTTTTCACAAACACATACTGTCTCTGATCTGGCTATTGAAAAATAGGTTGGAACTTGTATTTTTTGCTTACCTTTCTCCATTTATAAAGACTGTACAACAGGACGTTTCCTTTTTATCTAGACAAACTCTTCAGAACACTTCCTAAGAAATTAATTGTATTCCAGCCAGACTTGCATGCTGCCATCCCACAGGAAATGGGTCAGCAATCCATTAAGATGCCATTAGATAATCTAATTTGGAACTTAATCTCTAAATTAACCATGCCCCATACTTGAAGCATACTTGAGAGAAAGAAAAAAAGTTTACGTTTGAATCGATAGGGGAGCCGAAGCGTGAAGAAGGCTGTTTGTTTTTTCTGTAGCTGTGGTCACGTCTCAAGCCGTCTGGTAACCAGGAGAAACCAGACATGATGTAATTCCAGATTGAACTTGAACTTCAGGGACTTAGGATGGGGGAACAATGGGCCACAGGAATCAATAATGTCCATTTTCCACGATTCTGTT